AGCCTGCAGGAAGCAATTTGAGGGAATTTAGGATCACATCAACAGTGGATGCTGTGTGGGGGCAGTTCACATACCTAAACAAAAATAAATAATAAAAAAAAATTTTGGTGTAGCCTTTGTCCTTCATTGACTCCCCAAAAATTATCTTTTGCTTTCCCAGAGAGCAAACTTCCCAGCCCCACAGCCACACCCCCCAGAGAAAAAGTTGCACTTACCAAATAGCGACAGGACCCCACAGACCGTCCAGATGATCAGAGACATGCCCACGCTGCCTGTGTTCTGGAGCACGCCCTTAGGAGAGATGAAGATCCCTGCTCCGATGATGGTGCCAATGATGATGGAGATTCCCCTCAGTAAAGTGATTTTCTTCTTAAGCACCACTTTCTCCTGTCCCGGTGGCTCTTTGCTGCCCAGGGAAGGCAGCCTCCCATTAACATTCCCCTGCAGGTAACCTCCTTTGGAGATGGTGGATACGACAGGCTTTCTGACCATAGTAGTGGCACACAGGGGAAAATAAAACAGAGGGGGGAAAAAAAACAAACTCAAACTTTCAACTTCGGTGTCTCTTGGTGTGACTGATCGATGTCTTCCTCTTTGCTTTCAGACTGTCTCCCTCAGCGCTATTGCGTTTACAGGTAAAAACTCAAAGGTGTATTTTATCCTTCTCAGCTATCTAATTACTACTTAGAAACACCTGTGTATTCATGGTGCCCTCAGTTCTCCACCTCCTCGTCCTACCAACGTTGCTGCCGCTGCTGCTGCTGCTGCCGCCCTGTCATTACAGACCAGCTCAGCTTCCTCGTGGGCTTGTATTTAAGCTCCTGCCTGTCACACCAACTTACTACAGCTAAATGATGATGCAAATTCTCCAGGTTTGCATCAGCCACATGAGAAGGCTTCAGCATTACTCAGCCTTTTTTTTTTCAAACAGTAGCAGCATGTTGCTCAACTGACCTAAGCTTTTCGGAGAACAAAGCACACACTTTAAAGAGGTCTTAACCAATCCAGAAGTAGTAAATTCGGAACAGACCATCCCAGAGAGTTAAAGCAACTCCTAGTGAGAGACAAAAGCTCTTCAAGCAAAAAGAAAATGAAAAATGAAACGGGAAATGATTACTTCATTTTAAGGAGTTTCTTTTTTAACTCATGTATGAAACATTTTACACGCAACTGTTTTGTTATCAGAATGTACCCCAAAGCTGCATGGCTTATAACAACAAAATTTAGATTTCATGATTTGTATCGTGCTTAGTTTTATTTTTTTTTATTGTGAGTTACTTAGCAACAGTCAAATCTAATATTTACAAAGCTAGAACTTTGTATAAGTGCTGTCACACAACTGTGAGCTTACTCAAAGTTAAAAGATACAATTATTTCTTACTACTCATAATGAACCGGTATTTAAAATCACCATCTGAGTGTGACAAACTTAAAAATCACAATGACTCTAGAAAATAGTCATTTTCTGATTCTCATCAGTACTAGGTGATTTTCTGAACTAAGTAGAAGACACATTCATTTGCATA